TTTTTTCATGTAGGGACTAAATCACAAACAAAAAAGTCAGACATAGGGACTGAATTTATAATTTAGTCTTATAAAAACAAAAAATAGCAGTCCATCTGAGTATTTGGGGGCTGGTGTATTAATTGCTTCAGTAGTGTTGAATCTGTTGATAATTTATTGTCTCATTTGGGATGTTTTATGAATGAGCTATTTGGCTATTTTTTTAAGTGAATTCACGGGTCTTGTTGAAATTATAGGGATTTAGGTGGAAAAGAGAGGACAAACTCTAAATAGGAATGCACTATCCCTTATTTATCTTAATACTAGACACCTATTCCTAATTATGTAGGGGCACGAATCATGAAATATAAAAATCACCCCGTAGGTAGTCAAAATTCAGATCCTATAGATCCAGAGGGGGGTGAAAATCGAAATTAATTAGATTATAACATGGATTGTAAGATCCTGAACTACAAATTATTTTCAAACATGTATGCATAAAATATAACATAAATAAGGCTCTTAAAATCACTACAAAATTTTTGTAAACTTAGATTGAAAATACATATGAAGGTCAATACAACTCATAAACTTACAAGTCACTACTTAACAATTCCAAATATGAAATGCATCCTCATTACCCTTGGCAGCACTATCCCGTTTGAAGACATTTTGAACCAACACAACTCTGCAAACCAAAATACAGGAGTTGTTTTAACAGAGTAATTGGAACACAGCAAGCTAGAAGGCTGAAACTGAGCAGAAAAAACACCCAAAGGCAGTCAAACATAAACAGAGAAGCTGAACAAGAAAGAAAAGTCTGAGGAATATTCTGTTATATTAGAGTTGCTACTGACTAGCACAATTATCCAAGTGTAATATCTATCAAAGAATTGGTACAATGTTATATTGCAACAGCTTAAGAGGGGGAGACTGTAAGTTACCCTTTAGTTATGAATTGTAATCAAAATTCATGTCCTGATGTCCCTGATTGATACTTTTAAACTGTAAACCCTATTATTTTGTATTAAGAACCAGAGAATAGAGAAGAATAATTGACTGAAACCATGTGTCTCAATACACACTGGATGAATGTTAATATTGATTTATTTCATAGATTATACATGAATATAAAAGATATGATTTTCTATAATCTCTAAGATATTATCTCTACATACTATATTTAAAATCAAGATAAGATAATATCAAGATAAGATAATATCTAAGATTCTTAACATTTTGTTTTAAAATTAGCCAATTTTATTTGTAAACTGCTCATAATGAATCTTGCATGAGGGTGCCAAAATTATGTGTTGTGTTTGGCTAAATTAAACTAAATGGAGGCATAAATTATTGTCCTTGTGGTTTACTGTATTTTCTTATTCCTTATTTGATACTTTCCGATATTGTTTACAGACTGCTTCTCTCATCTTTTGGGGTTAAATATGTTTTTGGTCTTTGTAAAATGAGCTATTTTGGTTTTGATTCCTAGAACATTTTATTCTTTATTTTTCATACCTTTAAAATTCAAAATCATAGTTCATAGTCATTGTAAAATGAGCAAAGTTTTGGTTTTAGTCCTTGTAATTTTTTTCTGTAGTTTTCACCCCTCCAAAGTTTGAAATAATTTTTTTTATTTCCTAGCATTCATTGTAGGACAGATAAATAACATTTATTTTAGGGTCCAATTTTTTTTGTCACATATGGACATGGCACCACATGCGCATAATTGGGTGCTATTTGAGATGATCACATGACTTGCCAATAAGACACAAGCAATTAATTGATGGCATATGATGGCATGGGCTAGAAGTATTGGATTTAGATTTTGGAGTGAAAACCTAAGAAAATATTATAAGGACCAAAACTAAAATTTGTTCATTTTATATGAACTAGAAACATATTTAACCCATTTGTTTAAAATATTATTTTATCTTCTGCTTTTATATCTACTTTTTAACCTTATGTTTTTGGATGGTTGTAGGATGATGAATCCTATATCTTACCTGTGCTTTTACGATTTGATGGTCAGCCTGAAGTTGATGAGGAGGTATATTGAGACAATAACTTTTGCCCTTGTTTCCTCTCAAATGGTATTTTATGAGATGATCTTGTATTTTAGTCCTTAGAAGCTGGCCGCCTGCCACAGCTGCCCACAGCTGTCTAACATTTTAATTATAAGAATTATAGGTGTTGTTACACTTTTATGAGTATTTATATTTGTTATTTAGTTTTATGTTTATGAGCAGAATTTGTATCAGCTTTCAATTATGTTTTGTATATTTAAAGGTTACAAATATGAATAAAAATACATGAGTTTCAGCCTTCTAATTTTTTTCCTACAAAGGCTCGTGATTTTGGCATTAAATTTCCCAAGAGCAAAGAGTTTAGGTTGCTTGGTTTTTTTTGATAATGATTGGGGAGGTTTTATTGATGACTTAAAAAGCACTTCAGATTATTGTTTCACACTTGGTTCTGATTTTTTCTCATGGAGCTAAAAAAACAATAAATTGTTGCTCAATTCACTGTTGAAACCAAATTTTTCATTGCAACTATTGTTGTTAACCAAGCTTTATGACTGAGCTAAGATTTTAATGGATCTCGACGAGCAAGAGGAAAGCACAAAGATTCTTGTTGACAATCAAGTTGCGATTGCAATATCTCAAAATCATGTATTTCACGGGAAAACAAACACTTGAACATCAGGTTATTCTTGAGGGAATTACAGAAAGATGGACCAATTTCTCTTGTTTACTGCAGAATAGAAGATCGGGTTGTGGATGTCTTCACCAAGCCATTATCAATTAGCAAATTTGAGTTTCTGAGATCAATACTTGGTATTTGCAATTCCTAAAGCAAGGAGGAGTGTCAAATGATGTGTAAAAGACTCCTAATATTAGGAGTCAAGTTGTTGCTTAGTCAAATGTTTTAAATATTTGTCGATATGTGGTGTCAATTATTTAGTAGGCAATTACAAAATTTTACAGTTATTACTTTTTAAATAGTTGTAATGTTTTCTTGTAAAACTGATGAAGTGTAATGATTAAAAACTTTGTTTCTTCAATTTTCTTTTCCTTGTTTAGTGTAACGACAATTTTTGTAACCTATATCCCAGTGCAGACACCATAATCGGATGCAAGTCTTTCGAATTGTTTACTAGCATTATTCTTTGATTAGAAGGTGCATAACCAATCATTTCCTAATCCTAAAGCAGATGGTGGAGACGTCGCTGATTCATACATTAGAGAACCATATAATCCATATTTATATATTTCAAATAGTTGGTTAGTTATTGTTTTGTGGACAGTTAGTTGCCCTTGGTTATCCCTTTCTTTTATGTTTGGTGAAAGCTAATAAATAGTCTTGATTGTATATAGGACCTGTTGTACTCTTTGGCTATGAGACTAATGAGTTCTGCTTCATTCTGAATGTCACAAAATTCATTCTCTCTATTCATGGCTCTTGATCTCAGCATATGATTTTTTTTATGAGACAGAGAAATATTTATATTATATGTGGTACAAGGGTTACCAAGCATACACTACTGTCACAGGAAGCTAGTTATAACAGGAAAAATGCCTACCAAAACAAGTTTCCCACAATAACTCCTATTTTAAAACACAGAATAAGGAACAACTCCTTTAACCCTGTATAAAGCATATGCAGTAAATGATATGTTTCACACTCACAAGACTTGGCGTGTCATTTCTACAGTAAATTACATAATTTCTCTATTGTGCCAGTACAACATATAATCACTTTCTTCGGTCCAAGCACAATCCCGGGTTAGTCATCCACTGTGCAAAAGTATATCTAAAATTCACACCCCTATATTTGAGCCAAAACCATGTACTTTACAACAGATCCTTAAAAATCTGATTGATTTCTACGATACCAAGTATACCATTCTAAAATCCTCAGCATATGATTCTTAATTTCAATTCAATTCTCTTAATCTTTCGCAGATTTCATCTTTGTTTGATTTGATACCATTTCCTACATACATCATAATAGGTCAATTCTTCATTCTTTTCTAACCTACTTGTGCATGCCTTCGTCCAATTTGATGGAGTTATTTTATAGTATTTGTTTGAGGAAATATTTTATGAGGGTTGTTTTTATAAGATTATTACACAAACATGCTCTATAATGATGGAATATTGTCCGCTTTGCGCCTAAGCTCTCACAATTTTGTTTTTAGTCATTACCCAAAAGATTTTTCAATCATTGAATATGTTTGTATTATATAAGTTATTATTTTTGTTTTATTTTTATCGAAGTGGGACTTGTTTGTATCCCAACACAACTATCATTTACACCTCGTTGATTTATTTACTTTTTAACTAATCCTAAGTTAATCCAAACAGTTAGACGCATAAGCTAACAGGATTTAGTAACAAAACCTCTAGTATTACTTTACCGATATACGGACGCGAAAGTTTTATTTTTTAAATGGAGAACTGAATTTGAAGGCCCCACCCCGTGCGATCTACCATGATATTTGAAATATAATCTAATCACTCAACAAGTCAACGGAAGGTGAACACCAGAATTGCTTTCAAAGTGTCCAAGATCTTTCGTTAGCATGTGACTGCCTACTATATTTGTTCCACCCCATTAAAATTATATCATGTCGGCAGATAGATCGTAACTACAAAATTAAAATACATACAAGAAATGAGATTGCGTCTTAAGGCGCCATTGCGCCTCTAAAGTAACAAGATGCAAGAAGCTTCGAGCTACGCGTGTGATTATCATCGATAACTTTGATAATGAAAGTTTCCTGGCAATCTGACATGACATGCAAGCAAAGTTTTTTCTTTATCAAAAAGTACACCTAGTGCTCCATGCACACTGGTTAACCTCAACTCCATGTCTCAATTTTTAAGTGCAAGTACTTTTAGGTTAGTCCATCAAACCAAGGTCTTGATGGCAATGTGGGTACCTCATAAAAAAGAATAAAATTGATTAACTTTTTTGAGCAAAGGTGTCGGGTTGATCTTTAAGGAAATCGTTGCCAGTTTTTCATATAGCTATAGTACGATGGAAAAGTGGGTGATGAGGTATTATCCTCAAAACTATAATATCCATTGTGCCCATAACAGTTTTCCTTCCATATTCTCTTTGCCTAGTTACATCAAATGGGAAGCTTTGTAAAATCTACTAGTTTTTCTTCATCAGTTCATGATTCTATAACACAGCCATCAGGCAGAAAAAATATTAATCTTTTCAATGGATGGCCTACGCCTACCCCCAATACAATGAGTAGGATCAACCCTCCGTATTTACCAGCACAAATAACATGGCATTTGAATTTCTCTCTCTGGGTTTTGACATCTTCGTTGTACTGGCAGTTCCAAAGTGGAAACAAAAAATTTTCCCACTTACTCGTCACTCCTCCTATTCCCCCTCTAAGATGGCCTAATAACTAAGATGACGATTCCAATCATCTCCTTGAATGAAACTCTGCGCTGAATACGAGGACACATGCTCAGCTGGGACCTGGTTACTCCATGGCACCCTCTGAGTCGGATTAGAACCAGGTCCTGAGTTCTCAAATTCCCCATAATAAAGTGTTTTCAGTGCAAAATCCCCACTCCATGGCATCCATCCCTGTGGTGTGATAAGGGCTCCCAAGAACGAATGGATGAAAACTGTTCTAGAATACTCCTTCCAAGGCCTACCCAGATAGTTGATGTGAACCTGAGGCTTGCTATTATACAATGTCATGTATTCCTCAGTACCGTTAATCGTGCAGTTATTGAAAACAAATCCAGTTGACTGAGCTGGGTCTGTCCTGCCGTGGGCGGTAACGGCATTGTTCTCTCCCTTCTGTGGCTCTTCTTGCCTGGGCCGGACTAGGATTTCACAGTCTTGGAAGATTGACGCCGAGTTCCCAAAGATGAAGTCCACATTACCTAGTATACGGCAAGATTTATAAAATTGGCGCAGGGAATGAGCATAAAGAGTATCTTGATTGCCAATGAATTCACAGTTCTCAATCACAGAAAGGTCGCTATCTGATCTGAAGGCCACTGCTTGGTGAGCATTAGGACCAGCCGTGTTCTGGATCGTGAGATTCTTTGCTACAAACCCATCCCCAGCAACCCCTGCAAAGTTATATAATTAACTCATTAACACAGGTATGCTCCATATGCATGTCAATGTCATCCAAAGTCCTATACGAAAACAACACAGCATGCTGTACTTCTTCAGACCAGTTTCCAAAACAAGTCAAAAACTTCCATTTTATAATTCAATAATTAGTCTCGTAATCATATCCTTCTTAAGATGTAGAAGCAACTCATATAAATCATATAAGAAAGGCTTGCAACTTTTTTTTTATCCTTCCTACACAAACAAGTGCTATAAACACAACCAAACACATCTGTTCATTTTACAGATTACACAAAACTTAGATTCAGATTTTTTGTTCTCCAAATCATAAAAGAAAGTTTCACATCAATAACTAATCCTAATCTTTAATACAAACTTTTATTAGGTGGGTTATAAAGTGAAATGCTCATTCTAGTTAAAAAACAAAGCACCATAACAAAATGTAAATTTTTTCTTATGAAGTAGATTCAATTACTCTTATAGTCCTTATAATTTTATGAACTTTACATTTTATAATTAAAAACATTTCATTTTAGTCTTTATGCATATTGTTTTTATTTCTTTTTAATTTCTATAATTTCATAAACTTTACTTTTTAGTCTTTATAGTAATAAATGACAAAGACTAAAAGGAAAAAAAAATTGATATGTAATGAAATTTTTTTATCTATATAGACTAAAATGTAATGTTTATGAAATTATAGAAATCAAAAAAGTAATTAAACCTATAAAATATAAGCCTTTATATATATATATTTGGCAGGAAAGATTATAAGAACAATGATAAAAATTAATCTAAATTTTCTTGCACTATCATAACTGTCAACCCCGTAGTTTATAAGCCACTGTGTTTGAATTAGCATATGTAAAATTGATTTTATTAAATTTGAAGTAATATTTATATTTGGATATTTTTATTCTAAAAGCATATTTATATTTGGTAGGTGATGTCGTATAGGTCCTTCAAACCAAGAAATTATTACACAAGTTTTTAATATTAAATAAGCCCTTAAAAATTTAACCATTTATTATATTTTCTTTGAATAAATATTAATATTAATATTATATTGTCCTTTTTAATCACACATATTATTTTAGTTTTGAACTAATATATTATCAATTTACATTTACACTATCACATTGCAGATCCACATCCAACTAATAAAATCTATGTGAATCCAAACATAATTTATTATCCAAATCTAACACACGCTAGTCATCTAAAGCACAAAAAATAAAACACATAAAGCTTTAGATAAACTGACCTACGGTGGCAGAGTTGTAGGTTGTGATTCCAGGCTGGCCCACGTTAGCAGATCCCGTTATCACAGTCTTGCCCATGCCATCCCCCAAGAACACCACATTCCTCTTCCTCAACGGAACCCTCACCCTCTCTGTATAAACCCCTTCCTTAATGTATATCACAAACCTCTTATCCGAGTTATTCGGTGCCGCATTAACCGCATCCTGCACGCTCTCATAGCACCCATCGTCCTTTCTCTTACACACCGTAACGTCCGGAGTCAGCGTGGCTGGCGCGGCGGGCCCCGGCGCGAACCCCTCGGCCACGGGGGGCTCCCAGAAGCCGTCGCGCTCGGTGAGCGGCGGGGACCAGGCGGCGGTGTCGTTCCCGAAGCGGTGGTAGGAGACGAGCATGTTGAGGGCGTTGCTGGTGATATTGACGAGAGAGTCGAGGAGCGTCATGGTTTGGGCGGCGAAGACGGTTTCGATGGCGTTGACGTACTTAAGGCCGGAGGAGCAGCCGTACTGGTAGGCGAGGGCGGCGCTGAGCCAGGCGCGGGCGTGTTTGGTGGGGAGGGCGCGGGCGGCGAGGACGTTGCGGTGGTGGGAGTAGCGGAGGACCTGGAGGCAGGTCTTGACGGCGGTGGAGCGGGTGAGGTTGGCGGAGGAGGCGAGGGAGATGGTGCGGAGGTTGGAGCGGGCGTTGGCGAGGTGGTCGTTGGAGAGGGAGATGGCGGAGTGGATGATTTCCAGAGGGGTGGGATTCGGAGGGAGGTGCGGGGAGAGGGAGGAATGGCATTGGAGAGGAGAGCGCGTGGCGTTGCAGGCTTCGTGGAGGTCCGCGGAGGCTTTAGGGCTGACGTGGAGGAGGAGGAGGAGGGAGAGGAAGATTAGGGACGTCATTGAGAGGAGGATGATGGATCTGAGGATCGAGAATGCGACGATGGGTTTACGGGGTTTTGTAATTGTAACCATGGTGGGTTAGGTTGGGATTAATTTTAGGAATTTCTAATTCGAGTTTGATTCCGTTATTTATTTACTTTTTATGGGAGTGGTGGCACTGTGGACGGTTACCACTTACCGGTGGATGCGAGTTAAGGAATGCGGTGGGGTGGGGGAGTACTACACTGACGCTTCTTTATTATATTCAATTGCATGCCTTCATTGCAACCACACACAAGACTGTCGGTAGAGTGTCGTCATTCATGCATGTGATGTGAGTTTTTTTTTTTTTTTTTTTTATTCAGAGATTGCAATTATTCATTATTTTTATTAATCACTTACTGTAATAATATTATTTAATTTCTTCTAATAAATAAAGAGATGCGCGATACTTTTTTTTTTTTTTCTTCTTCTAATGTATACATTTTTTCTAATAATAACTGCACGTATATTTAAATAATTGTGCATGGCTTTTTTTATTGGGTGGAATAAGAAACAACGAAACTGACCTTAGACTTTAGAGAAGATTGGCTTGATGCATCATCCCAACAGCAGAAGCAAGAAAAATGAGGCATGATAACATTGGCTTCCCTGCCAACACATGAAAAGGACAATCCCAGGACAACATATCCAAAATAGTAGCCATTGTAGCAGCATGAGAGTGCAGAAGGACAAACTCCAACAGCCGG